CGCCCCTGGAAGACGGAGGTGCGACTCCGCGCGTTTTCCTCTGGCCATGGAGAAGGCCGCGTTGGCGGAGGCTCACCCCGTCGGCAGCAACTCACGCTTGGGCAGGAAACGGGCAGTGCCCGAGCCCGAACCGAGCCAAAGGGCGAACACCCTTCCCCACGCTGGAGCTCTCCCGAGAAGGCCATCTCGCCACCGTCATGCCACTGTCATGCCACCATCATGCCACTGTTGTGCCACAATCATGCCACCGTCACACCACCGTCATGCTACCGTCACACTACCGTCATACCACCATCATGCCACCATCGCACCACCGCCATGCCACCATCGCACCACCGTCATGCCACCATCATGCCACCGTCACACCACCATCATGCCACCGTCACGCCACCATCACAGCACTGTCATGCCACTGTCTTGCCACTGTCATGACACTGTTGTGCCACCATCATCCACCATGGCATCACCGTCATGCCACAGTCTTGCCACCGTCTCGCTATCCTCACGCCACGGTCGTGCCACTGTGGCACCACTGTCAGACCAGTCTCACACCATTGTGCCACAGTTGCGCCACCACCACGCCACCACCACGCCACCATCTCGCCACCACCACGCCACCCCCTCGCACGGAGCCTCACCAGCGCGGGCCGGCACGAGGGCTCCGGACGGCGCTGCCATCTGTGTGGCTGCCCGGGCACCGTGCTCTGGCTCAGACCGCGGCCAAGTCAAGGAGAACCGGCCTCCGTGGGCAAACCCGGGTGGGACTCGGCCGGCCAGGGCAGGCGGCTCCTCGGGCCCCGCGGGACCTGCAGGAGAACGTGGCGCCTGCCCAGCAACCTGGGCCCCCCAGAGGACACACGCCCGCTCCTGGTGGCTTTCGTGGCCCGGCGGATGGGGCGGTGGCCCACGCTGCGGGCCACGGCCTTCCCTGGGGCCTCAGCCCGGTGGGGTGCGCTCCGGGCACCAGGCCTGGAGGGGGCGGGGATGGAGGAAGGCAGGCCAGACCCGGGCAGCGGTGGGCGCCCGCAGACCACGCCGAGGAGCGCGAGGAGAGGCTGC